GCTTGAGAAAAAAATTTCACATTTTGACATTTGATAATTAGAAGAAATACTGACGCAATGACAAGATTCTGTTCGAACATCGTCCTATTAAATGTAAATTCTTCATTAGACGTTGCTAAAACGAACGATTTCGTTTCTCTAGTTCATGGACAAGAATAGAATAATTCCACAAGAAAGCGTAAATGATAATGACACATAATTAAGCGTAAGCGCGTCGTGTATATGTGTAACGAGGCGGCGCGACGAAATCATCATCTTTCTCAGGAAAGCATTGCAGGCGCTGCATATGGCGTTGCAAAACCGCACCGCGCCGCGTTTTCCCGGTACGAATACGACCGGTGTTACGGGCGACAATAATTTCCATCGGACGGACAGATTTAACCGCACGTTACGGTACATCGATTGTCGACGCTTATGTGCAGGAGAGATAAGGGAAAGTACTGGGAAACAGTTGGGACAGAGTTATTTTCTTTCTAACAGTTAGGTGGTGTGTTTTTGATTAGAACAAAACTGACATGCCTCTATGCGATATGCATAAAAATTTCGTTTGACAAATTGTAAGGAATATAATTTTAAATCAAGTGAAACCATTTTTGACCATCGAAAGCGATTAGTTTCTTATTATAATGTTTGTGACATATCTTTCGATGATTGCATTTTATAAGAATCTTTATTTTGCATAACACATTTTAATGTACAGTTCTTAAACTTTACAGTACAAAATGTACTTTAACTTCGATGTTGAATCTAAAAATTTTGATAAACGTTCTAATGTAGAAATGTCAATCAGAGAGAGTTGGGACATTTTATTGAGGGAGAATTTGGATGCAAAGCCTATCCTCCCTTGAGATGTCTTCCACTTTCATAAATTTTTAATCTACTATATCAGTCTTAATATTATTGTCATTTTTCTGCAAATTTATTTTTATTGCCTTTTGATAACAGTTTTAACAAATAATTTTTATTTATCACTTATTTACGTTAATCAAATTATTTACGAATTGAAAGTTCGTGCTGCTAAAAACAGTAAGCAAATAAAAAGAATTGTTTTTTCTATAATTTGTTCTTAAAAATTTAGTTTTAATTTTATTGTTTGCTTAAAAAACCAATCGTTTCATTTTATGTTTAGAAATTTTCAGGGATACATTTTCTTTTATATTTAAAAAGAATTAATTTTCTTTTTATTTGTTTCTCATTAATTTTTTATTTAGAATACATATACACTTGTACGTACCATATATGAATGAATTACTTCTATTGCTTTGTCTCAATTCTTCCTACTATTTGTCCCACTTCTCCTTTCTAGCACAGGGGAAATAAAATCGACTTTACAATTTACTTAATTGCGTTCTTAATAACTAAGATAGTTTATTCAAACTTTATATTAACTTTCTCAATAAAATAAATTAGTCTCAATTTTTGTTGTTACGAAATTTTGAAAAGCGGAAGCTACAGAAGACAAAATATGAAAATTGTTCCAATTGTTCCTTATCTCTCCTACATCTGTTGGCTTTGCATTGTGTGTTGACGTTGAGGGCGCCAAGAGTCATTGGCTTTCTCTCTCTCTCTCTCTCTCTTTCGAAAGCGGATCATTTCGCCGAAGGTGTAGCGGTACCCGCTTATGCAATTCGTCGCGGAGTATTGCACAGATCCGGAAAACGCCTGTCCTGGAATTCGTTTCACAACGACCTGCCGACACACGAGGCGACGCGACGTGACACGACGGGGACGCGACGGGACACTCGTCGTCATCTCGCCGAACCGTCCCTCTCGCGAACAGACAGACACACAAAGGGCTATTGTGCCGATTTTTCTGCCGGTAAAGCGTGTCGCGGATCTAATCGCCCACGCGAATGCCTGCGCGCTCTCGCGCGAATCGCGTCGCGGCACCTAGGACTCTGATTTCAAGGAGCGCGCACGCGGACTCGCGCGTTACGCACACGCCAGTTATTTACTGTCGTATCAAGGTTGCCGCGCGAGATGCCTTGCTTAAGCGTTGTTGTCCGTCGGAGAACTACGCACTCCGAGAATTAGGCCCGGTCCACAATAGATAAGCTATCGTAGCTAAACTGCGACTTGAGTTTCATTTCCGACAAGAAGCGTTTCCCGCGCTACTGGACGTCGCGATCCTTAAGCTTTAAGTTTTATCGTCACTTCTGACAGCACGGAAAGTGCCTTTGTCAACATTTGCTTACTGCTTAGAGATTAAAGACTTATTTACATCTATTGTAGATTGGGTCTTAAGATAAAAATACCACTGCTTGGATATGTGCCTACTTCTGGACATTCTTATTGTTTTGCTCTTTAAGTACGAATATTTAAACTTTCAACATGGAATATGTATATATTGATATGTATTGTATATATGAATATATACAAATCGATCTTCTGACCCGAGATAAAAAAACGGCGTCTTAGCCTGAAGAAGTAAAATGGCTTCTCCTATTGCAATTAAACATATCCCTGAATGTATGAATACGTTAACTTGAGTAAATTTGTTTCCATATCTTGTACTGTCACTTCGGCAAGCTCATCGATATATTCAATTTCAATCGTGACAGTTGTTGCGCGCCCAACTTCATTGTGTTTAAACTGCAACTAAGTGTGGCGTCATGTGTGCTGTGGCATCGCCTGAACGAAGAGTAGTATGATTTTCCACATAACGCATAAGGTAGGAAGTCGCAGAAATAATTGTGGTTGTGGTATAATGGTAGGGTTATAATGGTTCTAATTATTATAGTTTTAACATTATGTGTATATGTGAAAGTCTAAAAATCGTAAATATAATAATAATAAAGAAAATAATAAAATAATAATAAAAAGTTTTCATCTAGGAGATGACACGACATACATGTCGCCTATTATACGAAGAAAAAATCTCAGTTCCTGCAACTAAACAGGGACCAGATGAAAACTCGGTGACTAAAAATGATATTTCTGTTATCGCGCGACCGAGAACATTCGTGTGAATATTTAGCTGTGTTAAAAGTCGGCTGAGAGCAGTTAACTGAGTCGAATTTTCTGTAGGAATCCTTCCTGTTCCCACAACTGAGTTTTTGTTAGTCACCCAAGCAACAGAAAATTCAGTTGTACTGAGTTGTTTTTCCACGCAGAAGAGATTCGCTTTAGAAGACATGAGGTTTAGAAGAGATCCCGGAGCAGCCTTTATCTTTGATATCGAGTGTTTACGGCACATATACCTTAGCTTAGCCTCGACGCTGGCGTAATAAGAAGGCATTCTTTTCTCGCTCAAGAATTGTTTTCTTGCCGCGCTGTCTGTTCTCGCTATCTTCCGCGGGTAAAAAAGCCGGAGCATTGTGCACTTTAAGTTATATACCCTCGCGGAGTTACGGCCCAGATCAAGATCGCGGTATCGGAGGACATTGTTCGAAAGTAATAGAATTACGTTGGTGGCACAGACAGGATGCAGTTAAGAGTGCGTGACGCACATAGCGCACTTGCTCCAACCTCTGACTTATAGGCGCGCTGTTTCAACTACGAAATAAGCACGTGCGTTACTCGGCATTTTTAACACATATCCCTCGCGCCAACGCGCGTAAAAGCGTCGGCATTTTACCACATACCATTTACATCGATCATCACACCATAAAACGGCGCAGTCTCGAAATACTGATAATAAATGATAATCGTAAATGCCGAATACGCGGCTGCAACGTATGAGTCAACGCGCGAGTTTCTCGGCTCGCGATACAAGATCAATCGCCGAATATAACGAGTTGACGTCGATCGTTTCTCCGTCCATAAATGCTGCCATAATTATCTGCAAAAAAATCATTAATATTTTAATACGAATTTTGCAACGAACGTTACATCACCTTTCAAGGCGCGGCACTGACCAAATCGTGAGGCGGGACATAAATCGCCTGATATAACAAGCCAACGTCAATCGTTAGTCCACTCATAATTATTGACATAATTATTTGTAAAATAATTGATATTTTAATCCGAGTTGCCACCGATGCGTTGCGTCATTTTTCAAGGTATAACTCCGACCATGAAGCCGATCGTGAAACAGGATCAATCGTCCAACATAACGAGTCAAAGTTAACTGTTAGTCCGCTCATAAGTCTAAGTATTGAGATAATTGAAACAATTGATATTTTAATCCAAACTGCAACGAACGCGCTATATCATTTTTTAAGGTGCAACATTGATCGAACCGTATCATGAAACAGGATCGAAAGTCCAATGTAACGAGTTAACCGTTAACCCGCTCATAAGTCTATCTATAAGTGTTCAGATAATTATTTGTCAAATAATTGGCAGTTCAATCCGAATGATAACGAACGCGTTGCATCATTCTTCAAAGTGTACGGACATCGATTAAATCGTAACGAAATATTTCCGTTCGACGAGAGTATACATTTTTCCTCTCTCACGTGCCGTCACCCCTTCTGAAAAGCATTGAATAACTATGTAAATAATACCTCGCTCCGTTTCTCTAGGCTACGTTACGCGACAGGTAAGATACTCGCAGCTAAAAAGAGGGAAGACGCCGAGCGCCGATCTTTAGTAGGTCGCTCGGTTCCTCCGAGCGTGCTCATCCTGCGACCTGCTGTGTCGCGAAAGGCGAAACGCGCACGGCGATCGCTTCGATCGACCGCTCATGGATCGGGTACCGTAATCTGGACTTATCTTCGGGATACGTCACCGCCGCCGCTACACATCGTCCACGACGGCGGTGAGAACTCGGAGATCTCGCATTTCCATCTCCGTCGCGAGGATTCCCGCGGCGAGCGCGGAAGTCGCCAACGACTCGACCACGTGTCCGCCGATTCGCGAGATCCTTGGCGCGAGGACGACGTGTTGTTCACAGTTCGCCGGGAAGAAGTTCGCGCGCTCCGCCGCGCATGCGTGAGTTTGTAGGTCGCGCGCGCTCGGCCCGCTCCGACAACGCTCGGGCGTTCCCGGCGGCGTTCGCAACGATTCGAACGCGCCCACCGACTCCCGCCACTCGCTCGGCGCGGCGGTCAGTCGGTCGGTCGTACGCGACATACGAGGATCGTGAGGAACTCGCGGGGATTCGCGAGAGGCCGGAGAGAGGACCGCGAGGGATCGTGAAGAGAGGAGCGGCTGGTTAAAGGACTGTCCGACGAAAACGCGAGACCGCTGAGGAAGCGAGCAGGACCACCTGGATTTGTTGCCGGTTACCGCGCGAAGACGAGTCGAAGTCGATCTCTCCTCTCGACCGAGAGCGCCGAGAGATCGATCCGCGCGCGCGAACACGGCAGCTGTCAAAAGTGCGGGACGAAGGGGAACGAGACATGGTGTACGGAAGAGGATTCGACATGGTGGAGACGGTGAGTTTTCATGCTGTCTTCTCTCGCATTGCGCTCGGATTGTGTTTACTCGTGGGATTTCCTCTACGCATGACTTGCGTATTGATAAAAGGATCCGGTAATAAGTACTAAAATTTGGTGATTATTTGCCAGCTGAATATTTGACTACTGTGGCCAAATAATTTCGCTCCACGCACTGAATATACAATATATCTGAACTACGATACTATATATATATATAGTATTGTATGGGCGAAATTAAATTATTCGGTTGCAATAATCAAACATTCGATCGGCAAATATTCCCCAAATTTTAGTACTTACAACCAGATCCTCCTTTTAACTCACGAACTCTTTGCGTCCGGAATCGTCTTGCGCTCGCCTGTGAAACGCTCGGGAAATTCGCCTCAAAATACACGCGTCGGTGTGCGCTTCGACCGTTGTACGTTTAGCGCAACATGGTTGGACTGTCGCTTATCTAGTTACGCCATGTTGAAATTCGTACTGTTTGAAAATTCGCTATGAAACATTCGGCAAGTAAACAGAGGAGATATAATCATTTCGGACGCGATGGATCTTTCGAGCGAAGTCACTCGCGTATTCCGTTGTGAGGAACGGAATTTATATCGTTTACAAGGAGGTTATTCCGATACGGTGACCTTTGTGTCTTCTGGCGAGCAAATCTCGAGAGTAAACACGAGAATTTTATGAACTTTGAAACTTCAGTTAGGTTCCTCTTCCTTTCTTTTTTTTTAACGTCTCGACGATCGTTGAGCTCTCTTCTTCATCTGATGTCGTCAAATTGGAACATACGAGCACACGCGAGCGAATTTGCGATACTATTATTACGTTTCCGGAGCAATAGTGAAATCGTAGCTTTCGTAACACCTGACGTACAATTAAACTTCCTGTTTACGATTTAACTTAAAATTTAATTACGATTAACTTGAAATTTGACTTTTAACTCAACGACGGTGTTTAGTTACGGTATCTTCATTAATGCTCGGAAACCGAGGAGAATCGCTTCGATAGTTCCAAAAGCACCAAGACAATGTTGCGCATAATAAATACAACAGCCCGTTGTTCCTCCATCTTTCAAGACGATAATATAGAAAACGAATGAAAAGTATCGCAAGATCGTATTCGACGTAAACAAGCGTAATGGAAGCGATGAGTCCACGTCAAGGAAAGGACTGTGTCCGATGTTCAGCGCGGTAGCTACGGCCCTGTCGAAGAAAGACATGAAGCCGGCGAGTCGGTCGTACGGAAGGCTAACTTTCGAATCTACCACCACTATAAGACAGGCAACGTCGGTAGTTAGGTACGAGAACCGAGAAATTCACTCGGCTGGTACGTGATGGAAAATTTCGCGGTAAAAACAGAGACGAAATCCACCAGCGGCGGGCCGCGGTTTTCTCGACGGCGCGACTTTTACCGGCCATCGTCTTCCGCAAAATGCTTTTTGCACCTTGACACGTGTCACTGTTCGCACGANTCCCAACATTTTCAATCGCCCTGTATCGTCGCTCCTCTTGCGTTCTCGACCCGTTCAATCGTGTGATTAGAATAAGTTGAGGATTAAATTGGAGGTTGTGTCGAGTTGCTCGATAAATTCGCAGAGATTTCTACGAAAAACTCCAAGTCGAGACTTTTACAGTTAGGCGTAACTTTATTTTTTTCCCCCGTTTCTCTCGATGACCTTCTGTCATCGAAAAAAAAGCGGTCAATACCTTATTGAATAAGATTAATTATAAAAATATCAGTTTTGTATTTTTCATAAGAATAAGAAGCGAATGGACAACCTGTATTGGCACGAAATAACATTACACGTTTTGCTCGTTATTTATACCCGCAAGGTCACGAGATCGATATTCCAAGAAACTTTCATGCTAATGCAAACGTCTTGTCGACTCCATTTCCGGTTTGATTATTTTAATACAATTCAGCGAGCAAAAATCCATGTTAAAGTAATCGCGAGTCATCACTTCGCGTCGAGAGGGAGGAGAGAGAGTTAGTTATGGAAACAGGAGCGTTTCGATACGATATTCGCGCGGCTGTATCTTTTTTGTGATACGGGCGGAAAGACAGCGCGAGGGTACGTTTATAGGTGCACGAGTATGAAACGCGAGCATGATTAAGAGCGTCTTTAGACGCTTTTCCCAGCGACGGAGCTGGACTTTGTTTCTCGAATGAGAAAGAGAGAGAGAGAGATTGCGTTTCGTGCGCCCGATATCGCCGCTGCCGAAAGATAATATTACCATTATTAGTATTGACGAAAATTTTTTTCGATTCAAAGACAAGTAACAAGCAACGCGCGTGAGTGGCAATGATGAAGTCAACGGCTCCTCTTCGCCTCGACAGTGACACTCGACGATGGTGTGAAGTATCGTTTCCCACGGCAAGAGAGAAAGAGAACGAGAGAGAGAGAAAAAAGTTGCCTCGAACGGACGTAGAGTATCGCGTACGATCTGGATTTTCACTTTAACAACGTACAAGCCCGCGATCGACAACGTCCGCGTGTCGACGATATAATCCTAATCGCCTGTATAACCGTCTCTCATTGCACAATATATTTTATCTCGTTTTCGTGCACTTCGCTTATTTTGTTCCGCTCTTACGATCTCTCCCCCCTAGAAATCGTCCGTTACGCAATCGACGGAAAATACGCAATTCTCTCTCTCTCTCCCTCTGTATCCATATAATATCGACGGTCGGCTTTTATATTCAGCGAGTTCCTCCAGTGATTCATTATATTATAAATAATTCATCGTGATAAATTCATTCTGATTTATCTGTCGGGTCGAATTTTTATTAATTTATCGATATCTACGGTGTAAAATACGCTCTCTATCTTTCTTTCTCGCCGGGGATGGAGGAAGAGCGACTCGAATTCGAACTCGTCTCCCCGATCTCGCGTGTTTCTTTGTCCAGGTTATCGGGAGTATTTTCGGTCTACGCGATATGGGAAATGTGTAAGCCTGGTCATACCGTGCGAAACTTATTGTCGGAGATAGCCGTCGGCGCACGTCGTGTCGCGCCGACCCGAGCTCTCGGCCGCGTAAACAGGGTGTAATTAAAAAATGTCAGTAGCCGGTCTTTGTGCCGCGGGAGCATTGTATATAGCAGGCGTCCTTGCCGAGCCAATTCGAAATCCTGTCTCGCGCGGGCTCGCATTAGCGAGGGCGTGGTTGGTCGTTCGTTCCTGGTCCGAGGATAGCCAGCCGCGTAGTAATTGCACCAGACTCGTTTCCACCGCACGACTTTTACGGTTTGTCCCCTCGCGCCTCCCGCCCCCTTTTCCTCTCTTCTCCCCTCTTTCTTTTTCTTCCGACGTCGCGAAACTCGCGCTGGATGTCACACTTCTCTTTCTCTCTCTCTCTTTCTCTCGCCGATCTGCTCTGATTTTCATAACTCGACCGGTATCATTCGATTTGGTCACTACTCGTTCGTGAAATTCCCAGGTATCACCTGAAATTTCAAACTTGATATTATCGGAAAATATCGGGAAATGAGGGAGAGAGAGAGAGAGGGGGAATGAAATATTTCTCTCTCTCTCTCTCTCTCTCTCTCTCTCTCTCGACGTTACATGGATAAAGTGCTTTTAACGAGGAGCTAAAGTCGAGAAAAAGGTCGCGATACGTCTTCGAACTTGATAAATATCATCCTGCTATCATTGTAAAGGTTCTCCACGGCCTTTACCCGGTGCGTTACAATGTGTCGTTATGTGAGGAAAGTTAAAAGATAATATATTGCACGCGAAGTCATTCGCGGGGATATTTCTGTTCGTCGATTTATCGATAGTGCATAAAGTACGTAGGAAACGCTCGACGTCAGGCTTTTTTTTTCCTCCGCCTACGGAGTTATAACGGTCGTTGATATTTATTACGATAAAAGTTCGCTATTTATTGTACATAGCGTCGGAGTCGACGGTACAGAACGCGTCGGTGTATCGATCGTCGGCATGAGGAGCATTTTCGCGAGGCGAATTAAGCCGACTCAAATCCGTTGCGGAACCGTTGCGTGCCCTTTCATTCTTCTCGCCCCCCCCCCCTCTCCTTTTTCTCCCGAATATAAATACAGGCGATTGTTATATAATGTCAAGTTTTTCTCAATCGCGAACATAATACGCATTTAGAAAGAAAGTTCGCGCGTCGTAGGTGGTTGCGTAACGTTCGGCTGCGACGGATACGTTTCGCACGAACGAATTTCGGGGATTCCCAGTAGACACCGCTTACACTGAGAAACCCATTTAGTTGAATCAACTAAATTCTTGTTTGACTATGGGCAAACAAATTTTTTGATTGTAATAACCAAAGTTTGGTTGTCTAAATCGAAGGTGTGATTTTCTGAAGTTTCAGAGGTTTCAAAGAACCAAACTTTTAGTTCAGAGAACTAAACCTTGGTTCTTATAACGAAAAAATTGGTTTGCCCATAGTCAAACAAGAATTTAGTTGATTCAACTAAATGGATATCTCAGTGTAACAGTAACATTACATTAATGGTGTAATTCCCTGTTAAACGGTGCAATTCTGTTACATACAACACGTTATATCGCACTTTATCGTCGAGTGAAAAATTATAACATTAATATAATGTCACTGCCGAGTCGAAATTTGGATGTTACTATTGATGACCTGCACCTATTTAAATGGCCTATGTTAATAAAAAACCTTCGACGATACTGATATTTATCAACTTCTTTCTTGAATCTTTAATTCTACAAATTAATTTTCACGCCGCCTTGAACAACTTATTTTGATACTAAAACGGCGAAATTTCAGACATCGTCGGGTCAAAGTAGCAGTAAATTATATTATTAGAATTTAAATCGAACATATTCTGCTGTCTTATTGCTTTCTCCCTTTTGTACTGTACATGGTGAAAAGGATTTCTTTGGTTTAAGGAATAAAGTTTCCTTAAATGAAATAAATTTGTTTTTTGAGATGGAGCAGACAAATGTTTGATGATACAACAAACAGGGTTGTTTGGTTTCTCAAACAATAAATATCTTTACATCAAAT